CGGTGTTGCGAAAGGCGTCTCAAATTCTTTTCAGTTCCTTAAGGTGTTCAGACCAGGACACTCGATAGTGTTTATTCTTGCCACGGAGAATAGTTTTCTTTGCACATCTGATCATAATATTCGTGATATCATTGCAAAGTTTGTCAGGATGTTGGTTGAAGTTGATGGGACTTGTGAGAGGTTTGTGAATCTAGGCCTTCTTGAAGTTCCATGATAACTTGGTTGGCGATTTCGGTGTCATGCTTTTGCTGCCAATGGTAATACTAGCAATGACTGGTTTATGGCCAGAACCAGGATCGTCAATTATTTTGCGGTGTGTATGCTCGCTGATGTCGCTTGAAGCCAGGAGTAAGTCAGGGGTTGTTCTGGTTCTATTGTAGTACAAATATGTAGCAGGATCCTCATCGCTGTAAATAAGTTCTAGAGGGTTGCTGTTTAGCATGTCTTCGATCTCCTTTCAAGCCATGTTTATGTTCTTATAACCTCATCTGGTGGAATGGGCGTTGAAGTCTCCTCATACTACAGTTTTGTGTGAGATGTTCAGAAGATCAAAGTTGGGACTATTCTGGGGTAGATTATAGACTGCGTATATCCTGAAGTGGTTTTGCCTTTTCCAGACATTTGATTCCATTATTTCGCATATATCTTGTGTCGAGCCCGTACTCTTGATTAGATCGTAATGTGATGTGAGGCCTCCTTTTACTCTAGTCATAATTCCACATGCAACTTGTCGGTATTTAGGTAGAAGGTATAAGGTGTAACCTGGAAATCGGTAGTATTTGATTTGTCATCCGTAATGTTGGCTTCCATGATTGTGAATATGTCCATATCATAGGTAAGTAGGATTTTCTTGATTTGGATCTTCTTGTCCTGTGACATCCCTCCAGCATTCCACTGAAGGATCTGTAGAAATTATGATTCTCATTTCAGGTTGATCATAATAATTTGCCGTATGTGTATACGTTGTCCAGGGTGCACCACGTGGAGTTAAGTCTATTGCACACCAATTTATTAATTACCTTTAATCCTTTAATGAGATATTTAATCAACTTTTAGTCATTTTATATGCCACTTTATCCTGACCTCCACAAATTAGGGTGAATTGAAATTTGAGTTTAAGAAGATCTGTACGATAATCAACCCCTCCCCCAACCTCCCCCCCCATTGTCACAAAAAAACACCAAGAGTGAATAAAGTCGAAGAAAAATCGTTTCAATACGTGAATGAGTTGCAGAAAAAGTTTTTTTCAGGGAATGTGACGAATTTTTTATTTCGAGGTGGATCTCTAAAGAAATTCCCAGCTAATGGACACTATTAGGGCTGATGTAACTGGTTTTCTCAAATCTTCAAATGACATTCCTGTTTCAGTTACGTGAAAATGACTTGTGTTTTAATTGATTATGTTATGAACAGTGCGAGTTAATCAATATCTAGTAATTGGACTACATATACATGGGGTCCATTTAAGCGTCCATGCTTTCATTTAGACATGTACTTGTATAGACAGCAGCCATCACGCAACGATATAGGCTAACAGACAGCCCTGGTAACCAACACTGAAGCTTTTGTAAACTCAGTACTTTCTAAGGCGAGTTCTCCCGATTTGGTAAGGTTCCAAAACTTAGTTAAGCTACCGTAAAGCTTTGGAGGAAACAGAGGTATGACGTGTACACGTTATATTCGAGTGATGTCTATTAACCGGCAGTTGGCTTCTGACTTCAAACTACCCCCACTGTATGCCATATTCAACCCATTTTACAGTACTCATCTTACCTTTTTCTCTACCTTTATGTCTGTCTACCTCTTTTGGATCTGAGAATCTCTCTTCTGTTCCTCACTCCTCGATTTTCTGCTACTTTGATGAACCTTCCCTCCGTGAAGCCCGAAGTCAGCTAAATGGCTAATGATAGTTATCAAAACGCCTGCCATTTGAAATAAATAAATATTAGGGATGCATATAGGTCGTGTCCTCTCCGTTGGGTTGCGACCATCGGGCCGTCTGTTGAGGGTATTTTTGGGTTGTGCATTCTTGTTCCTTGTCGAATGGGAGCTTAGTCATTGTATACACTTTCGGGTATAATAGCCAAGTAATGACTTTGGTCATAGGTTGTCCGAGAGGTCGCCGAACTCCTATTGCTCCCCGCTTCCTGTGCTCCCCACACCCTCATTGCATTATTGTTTCATAAAACAATGAAAAAGGCGCTTTCTTTAAGAATGCGGCTTTCAAAATAATCACCGTGCTTAGTTTAGTAGATGATGGCTACACTAATAAACCCTAGCCTATGCTTAGTGATCGCTATGGCTCTCGAGATTAGCTACACTGCTTCAATGGTATAGAGGAAATAGACGTATGTCATGAAACACGTTTATTTGGGCTATGTGTAACTAGTGAAAACAATTTCAGCTCCATTGACTATGTTATTACTATTGATTGCCGATTGGCTGAGAAATCTCTGCACGCGTGACCTTGTTAGCTTTCTAGCGCAATGAGCATAACATCCTCACGTTGCAGAATGTTCGGGGTCACAAGGAGTGCCTTGCTTCAGCCATGGCAGAATTGTGTTCCCTTCCGTTCCAACTACACCCTAATTGGTTCCATTTAGTAATTTGAAGTAGTCCAAACTGTTCTGTTACCCCATAATCTGCTGCATTTGCAGAGTGTATTTGGTTGTGTGAAACTTGGGGAGCCGAATTACTGCAGACGATTCCAATTGAAATAGTGTGTCTGATGTTATTAATTTCAGTACACAATGCAGGTTTTATAAGCAGTTCTTCAAAATGCAGTTTTGGGTTGTCACTCTTTGATAGCACTAATTTATCGATGAAGATGACGATTTTCATTATCATATATGAAATTATTGTGCGCTAATGCGATTTCAGAGTTATTTTTACCCTGAAACGTTCCCTGGCTTCTGTGTAATAGTGGGAGCATTCAGTGCGCCCCCCATTCTGGAATCAAAACTTTTACTAACGTTTCCTAGGAATATTTCCTGTTTAAGTTGCCTTTAAACTTTTTTTAATGAGATTTGGTATGCCGCTCAGTTCTTGCAGTCAAACTATCCAAGACTATTCAGACGAATCAGTTTGTACCAACTGGTCGTTAGTGTGACCTTGTCTATGAGAAGGATGAGTTACTACAGAATAGTCAAAATTGCAGCTGTCAAGGCCATTGGCCAAGAGGTGACAGCCACATTACAGCCATCCAAAAGACTGAGTCACTAGTACATCAAAATTTATTGATCCAATAATTGAAATTGGAAATAGCGCGAAAAAGTGCAAGAACATGGTGTTCCAAGGTCAGTACCGCTAGTTTAATTGCCGACTTTCCATTGATTTTGTGCAAGCGGAACCGCGTTATCAATAAAACGGCGATAACAAATAGGTGATCAAGACTCTCCAAATAAAAAACGTTGGAAATTAGCTTCAATAAACGTAAAACTTGAGGATGATTTCTCCTCCGAACGAGGTAAATTAATATTGGCCATAAGGTTGCAAGAAACTTGGGCTAATCATTTATTTCATGCATTAAAACTACACACACACGACTCCATTTCAATTCCAGCCTTCGTGAACCATCGTATCCCCCTCTCTCTCCTCTCTGTGTTCGTTTAAGTTCTCTTCGCCACAACTTGTTATGTTGAATATGGTAAAAAATTTGAAATACCATCTCTAGCGAGAACTCGATACCTAATACGATATCTTGCTATCCCAACAGCTACGTTTAGCTCGAGTACAATTTATTTATTTAAAATGGGGGACTTTATAAAACTTATCATTAGCCCCTTAACTGACTTCGGGCTTTACAGAAGAGAGGAACATCAAAGTGAGCAAAAGTGGATAGTGTGAACAGGAGAGTGATTCAAAGACGTTAAAGAGACAGACAAACAGACACAAAGGCAGAGAAAAGGTAAAATTAGTACGGTGAAAGTTGTCGAAATGACATAGAGTGGGGTCATGGCAATTTGAAGTCAGAAGTTAACTGCCGGTTTATAGACGTTTTTGCCGTATGAGAAAACGTTGCCCGAGGTGCACCACGTGGAGGTAAGTCCATCACACTCCGCTCAAGTACAATGCCACTTTTCTTTAGTTCCCACCCCGTTGATTATCCTGTTTTAAGCGGAACCTGCAGAAGTAATCAGGCCAGATGGGTTATATCTAATGGGGAGCAACCTACGGATAAGATCAGTTAAGATGAAAATCAAAAGCAATAAATGAAAAGGGGCATCTTCCCGAAATTGGCACTATCCTTCTCCCCCCCCCCCCCAACCCCAACCAAAAGTCTCATCTTTTATCTCGAACCGACACCCCCAACTGTTATTTTTAATTGTCACTTTATTGAAACCAGCTTCTCCAATCAGACTAGCTTAGTGGAATTGACTAAGTCTATCCCTACGGTTGTCTCATCACCAATTTAGTGGCCATGAAGTGGAGGAACAGTTCTGAATCAAAGTCCACATTATCTTTACTCTCGAATTTCACGTCATGTGAAACACTATCAGAGGCGCTCGTTATGAAAAGTTTATCGAAAATTATAAAACTAACCTAATGCTAACGTTTTCACTCCCTAATTAAATAAATGATTTCATTTCTTCAACAATAATCAGAATGCCCAAAAGAGAATAATTAACCAGATAAGCTCAACCACACAAACATACAGAATTCGAGTTTAAGCAGAAGTACCACAGGATAGTAAATAAATGTACTATCGAACTAAGACACCAAATAAGCATAGCAGTAACGACAGGATAAAACATATAAGTACATTTCGTGAAATGCAGAATACGTCACTCGTATTCGTCAAATGAATCTAGGCAGTTGGAGAGAAAGAAAGCACTGTGGTCTCAAATTGGGAATGACTTTTGCGCATCCGAAGCTCAATTAAGGTAAACTGTCATATCAACACTGCATGGCGTTGTTGAAACCTTTTCGCAAACACGCGAGTGCAGTTCTCGATCGGAAATCGTATTTTTTCAACGGAGCACGAGTTTTGCTAGGCCTAAGATAAGATTTTAGAGCAGATTTGGACCGTCTTTTAACCACTGGCTTCTGTTTTATTTTTTCAGGAAACGATAGAAAACTATTTCGGCAAAGTAAATCAATTTGTCGAATTGGAGATGGATGATTTTGAGGCGGATTGTCAAGGCGAGTTGATTCAAGAGAGCCTAGACTAAGGTGATTTAGAATGAACAGCAGCTTACAAATATTTTCATCATTACCATCACCAACGGAACTGGCGCTTTCTAGGAGCATATACCGAGACATTGCTAGATCCGCCTCTTCTTCTATACTCACTTCAGAGGCTTTAGCAATTGCCTCTTCATATTCCGCTCTAATGGAACCGGGAGAAGCGATTTGAATTAAATGTGGTGAAGCATCTATATTTTTAAAAACAGATTAATTAATAAAATCACGGATAAAACAAACTTGTAATACGCCGAAGTGTCTCGGATTCCGATTCACATAAAGTTGTATCTAATCCCATTTGTTTATTGGAATAATATCGAGGAAACAAACGTTTAATTCTCTCCTCAAGTTCTTTGTCAATGCAATTGTAAAGATTCGGCACACGTCGCCTCCAATTGGAAAGACGATGCCGACAAATGGGACATCCCAAAGTTGCCTCCTCCAAGGATCTCTCGAGACATACTGCGCATAAAATATGACCACAAGGTAAATTAATGGGTCTAAAATACACGCTGAAGCAAACCGGACAAACGAGCCCCTCGGAATTGCTCATCAGTTAATAAAAAGGCACTGAAACTAGACTATTTTTCAAAACCCAAACAAGGAGGTGAAGATTAAGGCCACCAGTTTTACACAGGGTGCACCTTTCGTGGCTTTAACAAACAAAATAATCAGTACCAGAACTAATTCCAATGAAATGGGTATTTAATCGTATTTTCAAGAATCATGTGCCAAATGTTTATTTTACGATATTTCTATAAGCCATACGCAGATAAGTTTGATTTGTTGTAAATATAGTTAAACTGTCAAATTAATTGAGCGTGATTGCGCTCTTTATTTTCTTACATTTAATTCATATTTTTTAAAATATAGGTTATTTAATTTGGCATAGGAGCACTCATTAGAGCATTGCGAATTTTCATATACCACGTATCAGATATGATCCAGATATTCAACTTAGTGGTTGTATATATAAACGATCAACTAGGCATGTCTCGTTATCTGATTCTTATGTGGCTAACCCTATTTTCATAGATATATTATTTTTCACCTTTTTAATGATAATGTGATATAATATTCATATATTTGTACATTATTGATTAAATCGGGTCATTATCGCATCGGTATCTAATATTTAAAAAGTAAAAACAAGCTAAAATTCCACACATATGAATGTAGAAAAGATCGATTTATGTCATGTTCTTAAAATCTCCAGGTTCGTATTCCACAAACTCTATCATAAATTATATTTAAACTCGCATGAATGCGCAATTATACATGTATGAGTTAGGTTTGTCAAAAGGAGCAATCCTTCTCAAATCTTAATTAACTAGAGTTGATGCATTCCAGGGTTGTATTAGTCCTTATTGGGCAAGCAAACAGCTTTAGTATCGGTTTGCGTACATTAAAGTATTTTTTGATAAGGAAGGGTGGAAAAGGTATACATGGGGGTGATGCGGTGTGAATACGCATTTTCTTGTTTCACTGTTGCTTGACTTATTGTGCAAACATGCTTACTTGCAATTAATAAGAACACTAAGGTACATATTTCCCAACAATGAAACGTGATATTTCTAAGGATTAAATGTAAGTTAATAAAGGAATCTTTTGACCAACTTATTTAGTTAGTTTAGCATTTTAAAATCAACACAGAATATTAAATTCAGTTGACCTAAATTAACGACATGCCCTACACTCTATGTTTCCACTGTCAATTAAACCAAAGTCGTCATGACACCAAGTCTGTAGGAGAGTGGACGAGAAAGCCAATTCGATATGCTGACGGATATTTCTTTGTAAGACGTCGAGCAACTCTGATTTGGACGAACTTATTCTTTCCAATCATCAGGTGGGGATTGTCAACCACCGTCTTCAAATTTACGATATCAAAATACACAACTACATAAAATTTTTGGTAAATAAAGAATAATGTCATAAAATATGAAACAGGAGGAAGAGAGACAAAAGGAACTTTAGGACAATATAAACGATCAACCACGTTTATTTACGATCGAAATGTGAAAAATGTTTAAAAAATTAATATAAAGTAGTAAAAAAATCATTGACGAAAAAACGGCTTTTTTAGAACTTATTTTAGTTTAGGGCCTAGAAGCACAGTGGAAAATTACTTGAAATCTCTACCTTTGTACGGGGAAGGTAAATGAATTACAGGTAAACAATGATGCTAATGCCTGTGGGACGCGTCATCGCACGCACGCACGTCAGAATTTTTAGTGTGCGACCGTACGCGATGAACACCGCTCAGAGATACTTAACTATTAATGTTCGCTTAAATCAGGATAGATTTATTAGATAACTAATCGCATTTTGCTGTTTTCGTAATTAGCAATAAACATGTTCTGTACTGTCCGTCCGCCTCTTTCCTCCATAGCTTCGCTGTAGCTTAGCAACTTCACGGAGTCTAACCAGATATTTGAGATAATGCCACAGAAATTTCTGAGTCGGTCAAGACTTTACTAATGCAGCAATCCTTTACAAGATCGTTATGTTTGGGATGCTCGATAGACTTACCTCCACGTGGTGTACCTTGGACAACGTATATTCATAAGGCAAAAAGTCTATTATTCGGCATTTAACTTCAATTTATAATGATTAGCTTGAAACGAAGCTATAAGAGAAATTGCCCTTGTCAGGGCGAATCATAATTTCTACAGATCCTCCAGTGGAATCCTGGAGGGATGTCACAGGACAAGAAGATCCAAATCAAGAAAATCCTACTTACCTATGATATGGACATATTCACAATCATGGAAGCCAACATTACGGATGACAAATCAAATACTACCGATTTCCAGGTTACACCTTATACCTTCTACCTAAATACCGACAAGTTGCATGTGGAATTATGACTAGAGTAAAAGGAGGCCTCACATCACATTACGATCTAATCAAGAGTATGGGCTCGACACAAGATATATGCGAAATAATGGAATCAAATGTCTGGAAAAGGCAAAACCACTTCAGGATATACGCAGTCTATAATCCACCCCAGAATAGTCCCAACTTTGATCTTCTGAACATCTCACACAAAACTGTAGTATGAGGAGACTTCAACGCCCATTCCACCAGATGAGGTTGTAAGGACATAAACATGGCTTGAAAGGAAATCGAAGACATGGTAAACAGCAACCCTCTAGAACTTATTTACAGCGATGAGGATCCTGCTACATATTTGCACTACAATAGAACCAGAACAACCCCTGACTTACTCCTGGCTTCAAGCGACATCAGCGAGCATACACACCGCAAAATAATTGACGATCCTGGTTCTGGCCATAAACCAGTCATTGCTAGTATTACCATTGGCAGCAAAAGCATGACACCGAAATCGCCAACCAAGTTATCATGGAACTTCAAGAAGGCCTAGATTCACAAACCTCTCACAAGTCCCATCAACTTCAACCAACATCCTGACAAACTTTGCAATGATATCACGAATATTATGATCAGATGTGCAAAGAAAACTATTCTCCGTGGCAAGACTAAACACTATCGAGTGTCCTGGTCTGAACACCTTAAGGAACTGAAAAGAATTTGAGACGCCTTTCGCAACACCGCTGATCACACTGGAAGAACGGAAGACGTACAAGCCTGGAGACGACAGTTAGCCGTCCTATGACAAGAAATCTTGCAAGCTAAACGGACTACCT